CTGGTCCTGTCAAGTCTATGGATACTAGCATGTTTTGCTGACAGTAAGCCTACTTGGGTGCTTTTACTACTGAAACCTTATCTGATGGTCTTTGGGCAGTTTGACTGGAGCCAGCTGTATGGACTATCTGGCCAGAGCCAGTGCAGCAGAGAAGAATACACACACAGCTAACATCTGATTACACATGGTTAGGACAAAGTGTTGTCCTGTCAAGTCTATGGATACTAGCATGTTTTGCTGACAGTAAGCCTACTTGGGTGCTTTTACTACTGAAACCTTATCTGATGGTCTTTGGGCAGTTTGACTGGAGCCAGCTGTATGGACTATCTGGCCAGAGCCAGTGCAGCAGAGAAGAATACACACACAGCTAACATCTGATTACACATGGTTAGGACAAAGTGTTTGCTGTTAAAAGTAAAGTTGTTATGGATAAGGATGAAATGGATGAGTTTGGCAACATGTTTGGGATGGATTTCTGAGTGCTGTCTATTGCCTTGTAGATATTTAAGGCAGACAGCAATGCAATCATGGTGTATATAAAGGATACATTCATAGTGTTAAGGTTAGTGCTCTGAGGGAAGTTGTTAATATTGCATAGTGTCTGGAGGAAGTTGGTTGTGTCCTGGGGGAAACTGGCCTTTTGTGTGGTGGCTGGTTTGACTGAGGCTTAATACTTTTTCAGCTAGAGTACTATGGCCAGACATAATGGGTCTTGTTTGTGCACCTTGTTTGTATTTTATATGCTATCAAATGAACTCACACAGAAAAATAATAAAAGACATTTTATTCTCAAAAGAAATGGACACAGCCCCTTCAATAGACCAGTCTGGGAACATAGAAGCATGTCTATACTACAAATTTAAGTTGACTTAAATTACGTCGACATACAGCCACCAGAATAATTAAATTGGTTTTGTATATCCACACTAGCTCTTCTGTCAGTGGTGCACATCCTCACCAGGAGTGCTTGTATCGATTTAACTGTCAGTGTGGGGCATTGTTGGGCACTGACAGCTGCATCCCTACCAACCTTAGCCAGAGGTTCAGCGGCCAGATCTTGACAGCAGGCAAAGTCTGATGTCAGTGCAGAAGCTATTACTTACACTCTGTTGACCTAACTACATTGACCTATGTGCTATGCTTCTTGCAGAGGTGAAATCAGTGCACTGGCTGATTTACATTACAACACTGTAGTGCAGACACTTACAAAGTTAGGTGAACATAAGATGGCTTATATTGACCTAATTCTGCACTTTAGACCAGGCCTCAAATTCATAACTCTGATAGACATTAAAAAAACATGTACTTAAGAGACACTGGTTTTATGACCAACTAGCAGATTTACCCAGTATTGCTCAGGTCCTTAACTTAATTAGGTTTTTTTTAATAAAAGGAAAGTCTACCAGGTTTATTTAAATGACTGTATTTTTAAAAAATACAGAGTTATTTTATGAAGTTAGATTTTTTCTATTTAATTGTTTTTAGTAATTTTTTTTAACTGGAAATTTTATCAAGTGGATTTTTTTCATCCCTATAAACTCTTATCATTTGCTGTGTTTTAACAAAAAGAGATTATAATCAATTTGGTTTCCAATAACATTTTCTTCTAGTTTTCATATCGTAATCATTGAATTAGCTGTGCAAAAACACAGCACTACTCCAAATTTCTCAATTTTATCTCTTTTCTTTAAGGCTTATTGAGAAGCAATCCTATTTCAGGTTGATCCTATATTTCTGGCTCATCTTAGTTCAGTCCAGGAGTGAAAGTAACTTAAATTTCTTACAGATACTGTTGTATTGCATCTCTCACCCCATCCCAGGGAAAGCCTCAAGGCAGAAGGTTGGGGGGGGCTGATACAACAGTACCTGTAAGAAATGTAAGTGTGGAGTGGAGTGCGAGGGGTTCAAGGAAAGGGATTGAGGAGTGTCGAGGTGTGGGCTCATGGCTGGGGGTGGGGATGTGGGAAGTTCAAGAGTCAAGGCAGGGGCTTAGGGATGTGAGAGGTTCAGGGCAGGTGGCTGGATGTATGGGGGGGCTCAAGGATGAGTGTTGGAGTGTAT